GCACGGGTTTAAGTCTCATTACATGACACTATATCGGGAATTAAAAGACTAAAGAAAGGCTTTAGTGTCAGAAATGTTGGCTTCATATTTTCCAGACGTATACTTTATTAATCTATCACAAAATTTTCAATCGAAATTCAGCAAATAATGCTGTAGGCCTAAAGAAGATTTTGAATAAAAAAAACTAACTAGAGATGGAATACAAGAGGATGGGTCTAACATGTTACCTGTTGTAGACATAAAAAAGGATCCATCACCAATAATATTGCACATACAGCATAGACCCAACAATGATTCTGTTCTATAAGGACAATTTAACAGACCAAAGTTAGTATCAAAAAACTAACAAAGATTCTAATCTCCCGCTTACCTGGTCGTATTCACGATGTCGTGTCCAGTCAGTTAGCAGCCTGTCTGTCTCTTTTTTCCTAGAAAGCAGAGAAAAGCTACACTTAACAGAGAAGAAAGAAAGGAAAAGAAGCTTCTTCTTCGTTCCCTATAGTTTAGTTATTTATAATCTTAAGTTCCAATTATGTAATGTAACAGCAATCTTTCGCAAGCTTATTTCAGCTGAAAAAACCTTAATCGCACCGATAAAGTGCTTGCTGTCTTATCTTTAGGTTGGTGCAGGATAAAAGAAGCCATTGAGAAAATGAGGAGCCTATCCAATTATCATCAAATGTACACAACATTGTTAAGGTCTCAACTTCAAGCTCAAGCACCTAGCTATTTAAATGATGCGAATATAAGGTGTTAATTTAACAAGGATTACGTCCTTAGTCTATCACTATATGGCCATGGAAGAATGTCTACAATGAAATGGAGATTGAAAATCTATCACGACATATTGTTCAGATGCTAGAGTTTTCCTACTCTGCAAAAATCAATTTGTTCAACATCATGAATGCTAAAAGAATCTGTGCCGCCAATTAGAAGCAAGCGTAAATGAGCTGGGCATCAAGTATATGTATAACTAAGTTCATTGTTCGCACTTCACCATGTACTTTCATGATGCAAAATCGTTCTTCGCCGATCAAAAATGTGCCAAGCTGTATACGAGAATCCAAGCAAGCTGGAAAAAAAAAAAAAGAAAAGAAAAGAAAAGAAGGAAGTCAGCTACTCAGGAGACTGATTATAACCGCTCAAACCCACTCCTAGCAGATACTGTCCTCTTTGGGCTTTTCTTTTTAGACTTCCCCTCCGTTTTTAAAATGCGTCTGCTAGGGAAAGGTTTTCACACCTTTATAAAGAATGCTTCGTTCTCCTTTCCACCTAACAGATATTGTCCTCTTTGGACTTTTCTTTTCAGACTTCCCCTCAAAGTTTTTAAAATGCGTCTGCTAGGGAAAGGTTTCCACACCCTCATAAGGAATGCTTCGTTCTCCTTTCCACTTGGTATGGGATCTCACAAAGGGAAAGCCCAAAGAGAATAACATATGCTAGCGGTGGTGGGCTTTGAGCTATTATTACACTCATCTTGAAAATTTTGAACTTGATAGCAACACAAGCCCCTCCTGGAGATGTGTACGGTTAATGGCGCATTGTATTACTAAATAAATCGATAGTAAAGCACAAAGATGTGGAATTACCAGAAAGAGAGTTATAGAAGCAAAAAGCCCCTCTTGGAGAAGAGCTCCATGACCTCCAAATTCTTCTTCATCAACTTTTAAAATCATTGCATAGTATCCATATACTACGCTGGTCGATATCGCCAAGAAACTGAAAATGGAAACTAGCACGGTAAAGATAGCTTCCATTTACAGACAAAATTAAGAAGTAATTACTGGATGAGCAGCATGATCAAAATCCCGCACCACATTTCTCAAAGAATCCTCATCCTAAGCTACGATCTAAACTGAATTGAGATACGACAATTGCGTGCATTTACATACAACGTTAAGAAAGGACTATTGATGCGTAGCACAGTCAAGAACCAACGAAAGAAAGACTCCCATGGTTAATATTTAAATCACTTGGGATTGCATACAAAATCGTGAAAGGACAGAAGAATTTGCAGCATAATACTAAGCCAGCATCACATTTCTCCAAGTACTGCTCCTATAATCTCAAGAATTACTATTAAACACTGTCAACGTTACATTCATTTGACTCTAAAGGGGAAAAATCAAAACAATGAAATAAAGTCACATCAGGACTCCAGCTTATACTTGTTAGAAATAACCCAAACCTCATCAGTAATGCCAAATTGGCTTGCATATGTACTTTCAAAGTAATGGAGTACTCAGAAATTTGGAATGCACAACTTACATTAGAAACCATATGCCTCCAACCAAAGGTATGGCGCCCCACAGCAGCCCGAGTACAACGGCCACTGCTTGTCGAATCCAGTGCAAAACATCTCCTAGCTGATCCTATTGACAAAGTTGATAAACGGAAACTAAGAACGAGATTCAAAGGTCCGGTGCAAAATGCAATAAGGCAATGCAACTCCTTCATTCAACACCACAATAGAACTCTTAATTCCTAATTCTGAATTCATCCTCGTCAGTACAACGACGAACATAACCAGCAACAGTAAAGACGTACGCATAAAGAACGAAAATTATAAATCTTACGAGACAATCAGAAACAATTGTAATTTGAATCCAATACATAAAATTCAAGTACCTTGTCCCAGGAGGCCTCTGGATCGAACAATTTAGCGAGCTTGAACGGGGCCAAGTGACCATTCTGGTGCTCTTGATGCTGGTGAAGATTGAACTTAACCGGATTCGCTTCTTTCATACCGGATAATCCAATCAAACCAGTTTTCGGAAAACTAAATAGAATCAAAGAAAAATCAAATGATCTACAGTAAGCTCAGATCTAAATTCCAGCAATCCAGCGGATAAAATCCTCCAATAGGAACAGGACTCCTAGGGTTTTCGAGGAAGAATCAACTTCAAATTGCAGGATCCATTAGTAGTCAAACGCTGCTGCAAAAGCAAGAACAATAATGTCTGGTTTCTTCAGCTTCGAGTTTATCACGAACAGGGTTCCTGCTTTCGGGTTTGGATCCCGTGTGGAAGATCCGGTAGTTGATACCCGTGCCACGTAGACACTTGAATCTGGGCCGGCCCATTAAACATGCCGTCTTAAAATAGCTCAAATCTCAATCCAGTTTAATGGGCCAGCCCAGCCCAGCCCAAATTGGTCTCCATATTTTTATTTTTAATAAAAAAAGAATTTCGGGATTGGAGAATTTATATACTTAATTTTCATGGAGTCAGACCACGCATTACTTCTCGGATAAGAGTTGTCGTTGACATTGATGATAAGTGGGCCAAGGCCCACGAGTGCTAATTAAACGACGACGTTTTGAGTTTTAGCTGCAATAACGAGCCTAGATTCCACCCCGGCACGCCCCCACACATTCCTTATCCGGGAATTTAACGGAGTTAAGTAACGTGGATCCCACCTGGCACTGCCGTGTATTTCCGCCGTCAAAGGCTATCTTCTAAGAATATTCCCTCATCGCATCACATCACTCCTTTTCTCTCTCCACAATTCACCTTTTTCTCTCGCGATGGGATAATACCCTCAAAAGGCAGCCAATTCCATCCGAACCTTTTGCCACGTAGGATATTACTATAGATTATTATTTAAGTTTTTTTTTTTTTTTTTTTTTTTTTTTTTTTTTTTTTTTTTTTTTTTTTTTTTTTTTTTTTTTTGTATTTTTACGATCCAAATTTCAAAGTTATATAAAATATACAATCGCGGTTAATTTTTTTTTTTACTTAATACATATTATATCAATAACTAAAATTTTATATAGATCAAATATAAAATACAAAATATTTATCCGAACGATGAATTTTCTATTTTGTATATTAATTAGTTATTGAACTATTCATTTAAATTTGTGAATTTATAAATAAATTAATCATTTTTAAAATTTTATTAAATAATATAAATTTATTTGATAAAAATTAGAGAGATGAAAATCTGATTAAATAAAATTTTTAAATTTGAGAGACTAAATGACACGTAAATTGGAGGGTTACGTTGGAATTTCACAAACGACACTGGACATGACATTGTTTACATCCACGTGGCGGGTGTCAGGGCGTTTGAAGTACTCGTGGGTCGGTTTGGTTTGAAAAGACAGTAAGGGCTACCGGTAGGTTCGGTGACCGGGGTCAATGAGAGTTGGGGTTTAAGCGAGATTGGGAGATTTTTTTTTTTCTTTTTCTTTTTCTTTTTCAAGAGGGTTTTTGGTGATGGCCATCGGTACTTTAACGGAGAGTTGAAAGCAAAATCCACATTTCGAGCAACGTTTGTCCAGATTTTGATGGGATTGAACAAAAGAAGAAATCACGGAGAACGAATGTGATAAGAAAACGGATCGACTTTTTCAATTTTCTTCTGCGTGTTTGTCCGAATTTCAAAACGTTCGAGGAAGAGATTTGAGATTCGATCGATGTTTGTGAGCATGCAATTTCGATTCATTGTATTCGATTTTGTTTCTTTCCTTTTTTTTTTTTTTTTTTTTTTTTTTTTTTTTTTTTTTTTTTTTTTTTTTTTTTTTTTT